AAGTCCCTCTGTTTGCAGCAGTCTGCCTCCCCGGAAGCCATACAGTGTTTTCTGGTTTGCTTGCCAGAAGCCAGCTGGCCCTTTCTGCATAATCCGTGTGTGTGCACGCATCTGTGTGCCTGTATGCACGCGGTGGTGTGTGCATGCGTGTGCAGTACGTGTGTGCCTCCACATCTGTGAGACGAAGCACGAAGAATTTCCTGACTCATCATCCAGTTCATTTGTCTCTTTTCCTTTTAGGCGTCTAATATTTTATTTATTTATTTATTTATTATTTAAAAAACTTTTTTTTAAGATGCAGTTTTGCTCTTGCTGCCCAAGCTGGAGTGCAATGGCACGATCTTGGCTCACTGCAACCTCTGCCTCCTGAGTTCAAGCAATTCTCCTGCCTCGGCCTCCCAAGTAGCTAGGATTACAGGCATGTACCACCACGCCCAGCTAATTTTGTATTTTTAGTAGAGACAGGGTTTCTCCATGTTAGTCAGGCTGGTCTCGAACTCCCGACCTCAGGTTATCCGCTCGCCTTGGCCTCCCAACGTGCCGGGATTACAGGCGTGAGCCACCGTGCCGGGCCAGACAGCTAACATTTTATAATAAAGTCTTGGCATACGCCCACAAGTATTCAGAAGACCACGTTGGGAACTGCCCCAACAGATTCTAAAAACAGTACTTTTCCCTTTTTTCTAGCTTGGGGAAATGTTTTGCAGAGGTGGTTCCAAATAGATAACCACTCCTCAGCCATTATGTTCTCAAGATGGGGAAACATACAGAGCTTTTTGGGCAGAACACGGTGAACTAAAAATAAAAATAGATCTTGCATTGAAGTGTTTAGCTCAATCGATGACAGAGCGTTTTATTATCATTAATTCCTGTTTATTGGACTTCCACTGGGCACATGTTCTTTTTCAAAAATTTTATTTTAATTTTTATGCAGAATCATGGAAGGTCCTCTTTTTACATGTCTGAATTAGAGAAGTGTATTTGTCTGACATTAGACGGAGTTCAGTAAATATTTGTTGAATGAATGAACAGATTCGCATCATGCTGCATTTATGCTGCGATATTGTTGCCTCTGCCCTTTTAGGTATTCTCACTTTCTCCTCTTAGGTGTTTTTCAAAATCAGGAGGAGCCCTCTGAGCAGCGCCCACCGGAGCCGAGAGGTGCAGGGTGAACTGGGCTCCCAAAGTCCTTGCTTAGAAGATTTTTAACAGAGGTTAAGTTTATGGTATTTTTCATGTGACAGATTGTATTTATTTTCATCCTACTTAAAATGTTTGAAAATGAAACCATTTATTTTTTAAACGAGCAGAATACTTTTTAAAATAGGAGAGAAAATGCTATTACCCATTTTGCATTTAATAATAAAAGGGAAATGTTTTTTAACTTCATAAAAAAATCAAATTGTTAGATGATCCCCATTTAGAGAGATCATTAATGTTGATTCATAATGGTTTTTTTTTTTTTACCCCTGTTTTGTCAATGTTAAGTTGAAAATAAGCTTCAGAATTTTAAAAAAAATGAATTCTGGAAAAATATCCCCCCAAAATCACATTGTTCTTATTGTATTATTATTTTTTTTTGAACAACCTAAGCATATATATTATTGGTAAGTCTCTGTGAGGAACAAGAACAAGGAACGCTTACTTGCAAACTATTTTGTTTTAAATAAGAATGACATTTCACTCATATCATAGCAGGCAAAATTTAGGTATTATTTTCATTAAGAACACTATTATTTGTAGTAAATTGTACTGAATGCTCTCTGTTTTCCCCCCAAGGTCTTATGGACACTACAAACTCCCCTGTTTAAATGTGGAATTTATGGTGGCTGGAAGCACTCCTATTAATTCTGTTATATGTGGTTTTGGCTCCCTAAATAATGGCTAGCTAAAACATCTCTTATTAAGTCCAGATGCAATTCATTTTTTTCTGATATACACAGCACTGGAAATTTATCAGCCTTTATTATTCCTCATTGAAATGAGCGCCTTTAGATTTCTAATTACATTGTCTAATAAAACTAAACAGTCAATGCTATTTGCATATTATATGAAGAAGTGTCATACAACAAACTCATAGCAGTCAATTAACATAAAAGCTAATTACATATCTCATCAGCTTACAAGAGTTTCTGAATTCATGCTTCCCCTGTTGTAGCCTAGAGCAAAGGAGCTTTGAATTTTCACTTCTAAATATTGACTTTTAACTAATATCAGCAGTGATTTCAATTTTTATGGATGAAAAGTTAGTGATTAAACCAGATGCAATATTGCTACAATGCAATTAAAATTTTACATTAACTAAACCTCTAGAAAGAAAATCTTTGCTACAATGTGAAATTAATTATCAGTCACTAAACAGGTTACGTGCTGGTTTCATATCTGAAGGACACTCCAAAATAACGATAAAGATGAGTGAAATTTATTGGAGGTTGTCAGACTGTAATGGCAGAGACAGATATACCACAACAACAGTTTCCACTGTAACATAATTGTATTCCTGCTGATTGTGACAGCTATCAAGCAAGAAATTTACTACAAGATTAACAGAGACACAGTAATGAACAAACATGGAGGCATGCTGTAATTGGCCGTTATTAAAGCGTTATCATAGTGGTCTGTAATAAACTCCCTAGCTCCGGTTTTCTAGAGAAGCCAAAGCCAGAACTTTCAACTACTTTCTTCCATTCTAAAGCAGGGATATGGGAATCCCACCACCCCCATTCCACTGCTCACATAACAAGCATGAGGTCCCAAGAAACCTAAAGGCAGAGAAATGGGCACCACATTTAGGAAGTAAAATTAAGAGTTACAGATGGGTTTAAAAATTGGGAAAAGTTGGGATTTACCTGGAGTGCTTGGGGTACTCTTTAAGATAGCATTGAAATGATTATGGATCATTTTTCTACTTAGAACCTGTACCAAACAAGTCCATGTGTAAAAGCAATGGCAGATAAGAAAACTGTGCCGGTGTGTGGGTTTTCTCTGGATACACAGGCCTTCTCATTCATATTTTAATGAGGTTAGTATCTCTGAGACCGTCCTTGCAGGGCAGAGGGAAGGCTCCCTAAGATTACAATAGGAGATGCTTCATTGACAAGTGCTATTCAAAATCTTCACAGTATAGAAAGACTTCGTTTTATTCCACTTGTCCCAATACTTATTGCCCTCTTATAATCAAAACACTTAGAGGGGGGAAAAAAGCCCCAGTTACTCTGTGAATAGTCTTTAAACGTACTGAATGTAGTTCAGCTACTTAGAATCATTTTAAACTCTAATTGTGTATATTTGAATAAGTGTACAAAGAGCTGCAATGCATAAGCATCTTTTTCTTTAATATTTTCTCAAAAAAATTGATGCTCTGCGATTTTACGATCAAAATTTTTCTTAATCTTCTACAAAAATGAACTCCACTCATCTCACGCTGGTTGTTTTCCCTTTCCTGTATTTAATGAATATCGTAGTGTAGTGTCTCTGAGCTAGCTGACAGCAAACATTTTCTACTTTTAAAGAATGTTTGTTCTAAAGGGCTAGCTATCATCAAAAAGCCAGTCAGCCTTCATCGACTGACAAAATTATAGAAATTCACACGTGTGTACCTTGCCACAACATATTTGTGTTAAAAGAGGTAAAACAGCGGTATAGTCAAAACGTCAAATTACACTTTCAAAAGAAAACCAACCACTGGTAGGTGGGAAGTTTTAACACAGGGGGCTGTTCCCAAAAAGTGCAATATAAGAAATCAATCAAATGGCCCCCGGAAGTAAGTTGGGGAAGGCCTTCCACACACAAACATCATAATTTTGCTCAAAACTTACGTGCTCAGCAATTTTTGCCAACAGCTCACAGTGTTCTATGAATTGAAAAATTAGTTTTCGGCGTGGCCTGTACTCGTATGAATTAGCTGGTGTATTAGGATGGAGTTTCGTGTTCTAATGGGAAGCCTACGGTTCTGAAAGCCCCAGCGACCAGATCTCGCCTGGTTCCTCCTGGCTCTGTCCCCATCCCCCTAAGTATCAAGTATGTTTACTTTTCGGAAGGGAAAGGGGGAGGGGGGAGGAAGGGAAGGAGAGAATGAATTTCTTGATTACAGTTAGGTATTTTCCAATGAAAGAGCTTACTCTTTACTTTCAAGTAAAATGCTGCTCTGTTGAGATCCAGAAGCGACTATGAATATATTGTGTACGTATCAGCTAAGGAAATAATACTTAAAATACATGCATCACAGAAAAAAGAAAACCTCCATTATCTTTCTGCTAATGATCTGTCTTGATCAAATTACATTTTAAAATGCTCCTCTGCATTTTATAGTTGTTCCAGTGTTTAAGTCTTCGTTTCTGTAAATTAATAAAACGGATTTTCAGTTTTGTTTGTTAATCTGCGTATTGTGTGCCTGTTTTACAACTTGATTAATGAACGTTAATGAACGGCATAATTAAAGCGTAAGTAGAAGGCAACTTGTGTTGGAAATGTGCACTCTGAGCCGTTCGGGCTGCGGTTTTCGACCGTGGACGTTTTTAGAGATGAAAACATTCATGAGTTTTAAAAACGTGGTATTTGAGTGATTCGATACGTGCGGTGGTGTATTGTGTGAAACAGTCCAGAGGCGACTGAACTCCCCCTCGAGTGCCTGGGCGTCGCGGGCCGCGCGGAATCCAGCTCCGGAGGAGTGGCGCGTGGGGGAGAAGGAGGGAGGTTACCTGTGCCCGGGGGAGGCGCAGCTGAGAGTTAATCGGCGGCGGAGTTTCGCGACGCGTCCTCTTCCCAAGTTTCTTTGAGAACCTTTTTACAAAGTGGCTTCCTTACGCGCGCGGGGCGGTTTGTCTTGGAACCTGGGCCTGGAGCACACAGGCGCACCCTCCGCCCGCGCTTTCAAGGGGACGCGCCGCGCCGCGGAGGAGATTTGTGGCCAGATGGCGGTGAAGCGCGGAGACCCTTTGTGCGCCCCGAGCGCGCCTGTGAATGCCGCGCGGTCGCTGGCACCGGAAGGGTTCATACTGCGCCTGAAAGGGGACAATGGAGGCTGGAGATATCGACACCGCAGAAACCGAGTTCATTTGTGATGCAGGCCCTTTCACTGCGGTTGTCATGCAAACTTCCTGCTTTGATCAGCGGAGGGTGGAGAGGGAGAAAGCCCGCAAAGGCCGCGGGCTCGGCGCGGTCCGGCGCCCTTGGCGGCTCCACGCCCCCTTCCGGAAGGCGCCGCGGGGACGCCGCATCCTGCACCTTGACCCGTCTAGACGGCCCCGGAGGTTTTGTCTCCGTTACCAAGGGCGAGGGGTGCTCTTTGACCCGCGCCCGGGGCGGCGGTGGTGGCCGCGGGGTCCCGCTGAATCCTCGCCGGATTCCGGAGGGAGAGGGGCGCGCGGGGACGTGCACCAGCTGTTCCCAAAGAAAGCAGCGGAGGAGCCCGCCCGCCGGCCCCGGAGAAGGGGAGCCCGTCCGTGAGCCCCTTCCTCTCCAGCCCCGCGTCCACCCCAGCCCGGGGCAGCGCGCGGGGGCAGCGCGGGGGACGAGCCGCCGAGGGCGCGCCGGGGAGGGCCGGGCTTTGGGCCTCCCCAGCTTCTCCCCACTACGGGGGTCTGAAGCCAGCTGAGCGCGCGCGCTCCCTCTCCCTCTCCCTCCCTCTCTCTGTCTCTCTCCCCCTCCTGTCTCTCGCTCTCTCTCCTGACAAGTAGTTGGATAATAACAGCCATTTTCTGTGCGTCATGCTTTTCGCTACATGCTCAGTGACTCTAAACATGATTCTATGTACGTAGAGGTACAGTTTCTAGTTTGAATGTATTGTTTTTTTTTTTTTTTTTTTTTCTTTCTGTCCACTTTGAAAGACATGCACTTTGTAAAAACTAGAATGGACGCTGACCCCGTACGTGATGCAAACCAGGTCGTTGTTACGTGGTTACATTGTGATCGCGACCTGCGGTGCCGCGCGCCGCGCCTGTGCTGGGGAAGCGGCCCACGTTTGCATTCACCGAGAGTGCGGCGCTTCCATGTGGACTCGCAGGCAGGTCTTTGCAGTCACACTAACATTAAGACAAGTTTCCTCGCCTTGCCTTTCTTCTTAGATCCCCCTAGCCCAGTCGGAGGCGTTCCTAACGGACCTTTTGGAGAAAGTCTGTGAGCGAATGAACGACTACAAGCTCGAGGAAGACCCTGTGACGAAGGAGAGAACTTTCAGGAGATTTGCTCCTAGGAAAGGAGACAAAATATACCAAGAATTTAAAAAATTCCATTTTTATTCTGATGCTTACAGACCTTTGAAATTTGCGGTAAGCTTCCTTCCTTGCAGATGAATCATGGGATCCAGAAACGTGTTTTTGGAACTCTCTTTGGTTATTCACCACTCTTGTTGTGGTTGAGTTTCAAGACGTGGCACATCAAAATGCACATTAAAATGTCACCTGCTGACTGTGGTCTTGCTGCGTAAGTGCTCACCATGCATTTAGTAACTTACCTTTTGAGACACCTAAGGGGTTGTAGCTTTGTGTGGTGATCCGTGGACACGTTTAAAAGTGATATTTTATGGGAGATGCTGTTCACAAATCCTGGGGACTTGTAGACACAGTTTTGCACAATGTTTTGCTTAAACCATTTTGCTCATGTAGGGACTGGGGAGTGGTCTCAGTCGGTGCTGGTGCCAAGGAAGGGCTCTCCCAGGCTTCCACGTAAGGAATCAGGGGCTTTGGTTTCTAGGTTAAAATCCAAATTAAAACGAATGGTGCTTTCAAATATTTACAGCCGTATGATAGAAAGAGAATGATGCAGCCATCTCCTTTTTTTCCTAAGGCTTCACAGAAGAGAGAGAATTGCATACTGAGTTAATTCAAGTATTCTAGCCCAAACTAAGTTAAACAAAGGCTTAGGTATGATAGTTGACTTGATGCCAAATTTCTTTCCAGTATATTTATTTTTCATGAAAGCTAGTCTCTAGCTTGCTAGAATGTGTTGGCAAAATACATTGCAATATATTTCACTTTAACCAATGCTGTTGAATCAGACAAAGTGATGGTCAATCCTGTTTTAAAATGTATTAAGTTCACACACCGTCCAGAATATCAGGCATGCTGAAACCTTGAAGTGAGGGCTTTAGCTGACTTTCAAAGATTTTATTTTAATTAGAAAGTAAAGGCGATAATCAAGGTTAAAAGTGCCACAGAATAAGAATGACAGTGAATAAGTATGTTTGTATTTCACAGGTTTTAAATAGGCACATTGAGTCGAATTTAAATCTTTTTAAATGCCATTAAAAATTTTTAGAGTCTTGCGTAATGAACTCAGAAAATGATTTACAAGTCTCTAGTGAATACCACTGGGTAACTTCACAGCTCCTAAAAGTATAACCTGGTCGTTCTTTACCAAAGAAACATACTCCAGTTAGAATTTAAGATTTTCAAATGCAGGGCCATATTGGAGCGCCCTCTTCTCTGAAATGTCAGGTTTTTTCTAAGTGAAGTGAAATTTTGGATGGATCTCTAAATAGTATGAAAAGACACTTCCCGAAGTAACTGTCAAGTGTGTTCTCCACAGTGAAATTGAAGATGCGTTTGTTTTGATTGCTGAGAAGGCTTAATTGTTTTCACACTTTCAAGCCACAAAATGGATTATTATGTTAAATCTGAAGGAAACTGGTTTAACCATTTCGAGGAGCTGTGGTCTTTTACTTTTTTTTTTTTTTTTTAATTTAAAAGCCCTAAGACCTTTCATCGCCTTAAATAGGAGGCCCGTTTCTTCCTATGATTTCCATTCCAATTTAAGGAAGCGAAACATGCAGAGTGATGTTCCTTCCTCAGCCTCCCACATCTTCCAACACAACTCATCTTTGACTTAAGTCCCAGGAAAATGATGCAATTAACATTCTGGGAAGAGGGTTAATCCGATGCAGTGATGTATTAAACCAAAAGGGCTAATAAAAATGGACCACCTTGGTTCCATGATTTCCTGTGTTTAGCTAATAAATGGTTGCAAAGTCCTTCCTAACAAGGATCCCCACCAGTGTGCGTCTATCCACATATGCTATTATTATGTTTCTACAGTGTGAAACTATAATAGAAGAGTATGAAGATGAAATATTCTCACTTATCGCCCACGAGGCACACTATCTAGCTGACAAGCTGTGCAGTGAAAAGTCAGGTACTGTGTCTGATGTAACATGTGCTCGCTGCTGGAACACCCTCTCTCTCTCACTCAGCCTTGCAGCGTCTTGTTTGCAGACCGGGCCTCTCTGCCTCGCTGCGACCCACGGCTCTGACACAGGCTCCCCCGTCTCCGCTGAATCAGAAACGACAGCATGTGAGAGAAAACAGATAAACAGAAACCACAGGGCTGTGAGGTCTTCTGTTCTTTCCTCTACCCGTTCAGGGAATTCAAACATTCTTGATTTCTAGTTGTTAAGGAGAAAATTCTTATTCAGAAATGGAAGACTCCAAAGCACTTTCTTTTTAAAAACTTTGAGAGATACGATTTTTCCATCCTGGACCAGGGAAAGAGACTCTCACTTCATAGCTAGAGTATCTGCTACACCAGCAGAAGGTGGGATTTTTGTTTTGTAAGAACTTTCTGAAGTTTTTGTTGTTGTTTCTTTGTTTTGGGTCGGGGTGGGAGGGGGGATGCTGGATATATATATATATTTTTTCAGGTTCTATTCCTGTATCTACTTCTCAAATTTTTTTTCTGGCTCAGAGGATGGAAAATAATACTTAATTCTGAAGCATATACACACACTCAGAAGCTGGAAAAAATGAGCAGAATTTTATTTATAATATACAAAGTTGAAAGCTGTGGTCACTGCCTCTCCACTCTGTTTGGCTGTGCGTAGATCTCCTAGTTCCCTAACTTGGATACAATGGAGTACACAGTTGTGCATTCTTTTTGGATATCTTTGGGAAAATGAATAAGTAGATGTGAAGACAGTGATTTAAAGCCAGTGGGGTTCTTTTAAACAATGTGGAAGTTTGAGACAATTAGCATTCAGCAGTTGTTTACAATAAAGTGTAACACACCTACATCCATTATATCAAATGTAGCGTCAAAGTCCTTAAAATAACAGCTACTGCACATTCGTAGATCAATATTTAGGTCATCAGAAGTTATTGAACAAGAAGCAAACAGATCCCCCATTAACAGAACAGGTAAAGTTTTGTTTGTTTGTTTGTTTTTGCACTCTGAGTAGATAATCGAGTTGTTTTCTGTTTAAAATTCAGTTTTAGTGAAGCTTGCAGAAGAATACAGTGAGATCACATAGTCAGGATTATTCAGGCATTTGGGGTATTTTTCTTTGATGTTAGATATATACTATAGAAATGGGTGATATCCATAGCCACAACTTCCCACAGAAAATGTTTTTAAGGTGTTTCAAACAATTCAGAGATGTATGTACCCGTTCTGATATAAGCAAAAACATGATAAACAATACTTGAAAATATTGATTTTCCTATTTTTTCCTCACAAAGGATGCGGCCTTGTCATTATTGTCTACGACAAATGCAGATCCACTGCTACGGGGACCTTCCCCGTGTGTTCCAGGAGGACCAGGGAGGGTCCCAGCAACTAGTAACAAGATCCTGGGGAAAGACTGCTCCCAAGTTTGTCAATCTGACTTAATTTCAATAGTCTTAACTACTCCTCTTAATTCATCCTTCATATTTATAACTGGAATAAAAACTAACACCTCGAGAAAATGCAAGCTCAAAGAATAAACCTAAGATAGGTGCGATTTTGAAAGTATAAAATGAAATCTGATCAGATAATTCTTAATTGGCATTTGATTTTTAAAACGGTGATTAAGTCCTTACACTGTTAACAGCAGTATTGGAAGTAAAAGGTAGGAAAAATAGCCGAAGGTGCAAGCCACCATTCAGCCACCACATAGTGAAGCGGGGTGAGTCCTTTCAGGTAACGTTTCTTCATGAAACGTATTTATGGATGTTCTAAACCACTCATAGGTTAAAACCCGAGAATAAATTAATCCTAGAAAGAGACTAGATTTCTTCCACCCACTCAAAAAGCCCTACTGTTGAAGTGAGTTAATACCACCATAGCAAGGAAGAGTTTCTTCAACTTAACAATACTGCCAGAAAAAGCTCAGGCAACACATCAATGATAAAAACGCTGATAAGTGACTGAAAGCAACAGAGAATTCATGTGTCTTAACACATTGGGATGGTTTCAGACAACTGAAGGGTGAGACGTCCATATCATAGAAAACTCCAGATGCCTTGGTACCTAATCTAAAATACAAGCACAGCCAGTTTGCAACCAGAATATGACATTCACACTCTGCTTTGTGAAGGTGATGCTTTACCTTGTGACCCTGCACAGCCCCTTTGCTGTGATAGACTCTCCAGAGTTTAAACAGTGTCTTAAAGATGTGACTCTGTGTGTGTGTGTGTGTGTGTGTGTGTGTGTGTGTGTGTGTGTGTGCATGTGTGTTGGAGGGTACAAAACTGCACGTTAAGCAGCCACTGTTTACTGAGTGTCTACTATGTGCAAGACACTACGCTGTTAAAATAGTCACACGTTGCTTTTAAGAAGATAAACATTTAGAAAATAGACATTGGTAGAATTCGAGGTTTTATTGAAAGTTTACTTCCTTTCTACACTTTATATACACCTTGTTTATATAGGAGTTTCATTTTCTTTCTTCTTCGTGTAACTTATTTCCCTTTATTTGTAATAATGATATGTTGGCAAGTAAGGACACATTCACAGACTCTTCAGAATATTAAAGTTCTAACATTCACCCATGCAAAAATAAATGGGGAAAGATGGAGAAAATGTCTATGTCAGATTTCAGATGACTGTGTTCGGATGAAAATGTATCACTGAGATTTTCATTAGGTGTCATTTTTTTTGATGAGTGAAAAAAATCTCAATGAAAGGTTGTAGGATTACAAAGGAATCTGTGGCTGCCAATGCAGTTTATTTACTGGAGAGAATAAAAATCATCAAATGTACTCTGTTTTTGCAGTGTGAGACAGAGTAATAAGGAGTTACTCCTCAAATGATCTCTTTTTTCTCCTAGGCAAAAAAATAAAGGCAAATTCATTAGATGTTCCTGGTGGAATATCTTGGGGTATATAGCCCAGACTTCTCCAGAATGTCATTTTGATGTCTTGGAGTCAAAATGATGAAAATCTTAATATGATATAGGGTCGTGATGAAAAGTGCAGCTATATGCCACTTGAGATATGAAACATAGCACTGTAGCTAGTAAGTGAATGGATCTTCTAATACTCATGGCAGTATTTGTTAAGTAGACTATGTGAAGGCACAAATAAATACATAAATATATCCTGTATGTATCACTTCTGTGTCAATATGAAACCCTAACATTTAAAAGCATCATTACTGATGACTTTGCCATATAATAATTTAGAATGTAGTATACGAATATGAGATCAAGTGTCCAGAAATGTTTAGCCTACATTTAAAGTGAAAGATTTTTACCTTTTTATACAGACTTCTCAACACTAATGAGAATGTAAAATTTCTAATATGTAAAATAATTATTTCAAAGGCTGACATATTTTTTTAAAATTTTGTAACTAAAGTAATCCATAGCCTTTTTCAATAGAGTTGGTATTAATTGCTTCCAAATGGAAAAGTAGTATTATCAAAGTATCTAGTTGCTTCTGTGGTCCTTGGATTAAATGCCAGATGTACTGTGCCCCTTACAAGCTGTGAAATATCTGAGTGGAGCCATGGGTGAAATGACACAATACCTTGGCCTTGCTTTAAAATACTCCAGCCAAAAAGACTGGACTATGAGACAAGAACAGCAGTGTTGATCTTTGTTGAAGTTGGGTTTGGGGTGCAGGGTAATAGGTTACACCTTCTTTTTGCTTTTGGGCAATTTCTATAATAAAATTTTGGGAACATTTCTGTAATAAAAGTTTGAAAAATATGCTTCCACCTGAATGTAGGTTTTGCATAATGTAAATGACTTAATAGGCTGATACCTAAAGTGATAATGATGCTATGTAATTTTTTTTCCAGATCTGTGTGAAACTTCTACTAATCACTCTGAGCTCTAGGAACGCCGTGCTGCTAGTTGCAGAGAGGAGTAGTCACACCCCAAAGGTCAATGTCTGCATTTTGTGTTTGCATGTTGTCTTTCATGACAAGAAACTTAGTCTCTTTATGATTTATTTTGAAAATCTGTTGTTTGACATCAAGACAAACCCTGAGGTTTGTTTTTTTTTTTTTTTTTTTTTTGTAGGTAAAGCTGAGGAGTACATAAAGTTAAATTAGCCTTTGCAGATTTTGATAAATCAAGCTTGACAATAAAGCATTTAATTCTGTATTGGGGAAAATAGTGAAGACATTTCATAAACAAAACAGGGATTTCATAAAGTATGCTGTTTATTTCCTAACAGTGCATGTGCACATGTGCAGCTGCAGTACTCTCTCTGATAAGAACCAGATTTGAATTCTCAAATACTTGATTGGCTGTAAGTTTAAGGAAATACATGGCAACAAATTCAAAATGTGTTCTTGTGGGTGAGATACGGCTACTGGTGACAGAAACAAATCTACTGTTTATCAGCCATGAAATTTAAATTTCTAGAAACCACAAGTTTAAAAACTTCTCATTTCTAAAGTTTAGTGAAATGTGTAAAAACTAATGAATGCTTTAATTTATAGTGAACACTAATTATGTTGGCCTCTCTTAAACACCATTCTAAGTTTAAATGATTTAGAAAGTTGATTTATTATTGCATCATGTGTTAAAAGATACTGTGTTTTGTTTGTTCCAAACTCTCCTGGTTGGTTTGTTTTTCTTATAAAGTTTTTTTTTTGGCTTACAGTTAGTGTGTTGAGTTTACTACTAAATAATCTACCATTCCTCTATAGGAATGGAAAGGGAGGAGGGACCTGGTGGGACATTATCTTTTGGCCACACTTAATATACAAAGTATAGTAACAATCACTCCTGGAAGTTTCATGATCTCTTTTAAATTTGCATTCAATGGAATCTGACTTTAATGATTAAAAATGTCAGTGTATAGGCTACACCAGTTTCTAAAAAGAGATTCTCATTGTCTTTGGTGTGAATCAAGCGGGTAGGATGCTACGAAGTCTTCCCGGAAGACCTAAAACTGTTCACCATATTGTTACTTAATTGCCTAAAAAGCACATTATGTATTTAAACCATTCTGCTGACTCCAGCAGGAAACAATTCTTAAATTTAGGAAAATTTACCAAAACTAAAGGGAAGGGCTTTCATGCCTCCTCCCCACGTCGACTCTTATTAAAAGTAAGTTAATATCACTTAATTATTTGGGTGCTTTTTTTTTAATATATGTGGCTGCTTAGGTATGATGACTCCTAGATAAAGAAAGCCACACTCTAGCTGGCACACGATGGAAACTGAACTGAATAATAATTGCTATTTTCCAATAGGGTAGGGCAATTGTTATTTAAAACATAGTCCCCGTAGCTTTATTGAAATGTATCTAGTTAAGATTAATTTGGCATTTAAAGTAGTAAATCATGAACATTCTCCTAACGTGGGTTTTCTTGGGAAATGCACTAGACAGGAAAATTATTCCTTAAAACCTAAGTGACCTTCAGGAGCATGGTGGGATTTATGGCAATAAGTCAGCTTCTGTGAAAAATGTTAGCAGTTGTGATTGTAGAAGAGTTGCCAAATTTGTTTTCATATGCTTTTTGATCATTATTGAAAATTCTCGAATGTAGACAATACTAACACTTATTATAGAAATTAATTTTGTGGGCTCCTGTTTGTAAGCTAAACAGACTTGGGAAGGTACACCTTCTCTCACTGAGGGGTGCCTTTCATTGACGGTGATGGTTTACTTTGACTGGAGAGGACCAGGCACCTTGGCTCACAGCGAATATCTGAGGTTTTGCTAAATTGGGCTTTTCAGTTTTTTTCTTGGATTTCCCTTTAAAAGTAGTCGTGTATCTTGCCAATTTTTGAATATTTCATGACTTGTGTATTTTTTCTTTCCAGAATTTTTTCCAGATCAAACTTGATAACCTTATGTAAATATTTGTAGCTTACTAAGTTACAGATTAAACCTGTATTTGGGTGATAACGCACAAACCACTGGGTTTCTCGTGGCTGCAGGAAGTCAGGTTTCCCTGTGGGTCCCTGTTGTCTTGCTCTGCTTTTGCTAATGAACGGTGAGATAGAGCAGCTACTCACTTTAGCATCTTCCTAGCCACCTGCTGCCTTGTAAGTCACATGTATTGACCAAAGCCAAAGTAAAAACAAGTCAGGGGAGAAGAAACAAAAACAAAAAAACAAAAGCAAAAATAAAAGAAACAAAGCAACATTATGATGTGAGAAAAAAGTTGCTCAGAGCTGATGAAAAGCTACCTAATTCTATGTCTAAAAAAATCACCCGGGAAAACACTGGGTAGTGTAGTGCTTATTAAAATAATGATGAGAGAAGACTCATTTGAGGCTGGATGATTTCAAATTGTTCTTTTATGAGATGGTTGGTTTGGGTCTCCATGAAGACATGTGAACCTATTCTCATAGAAAAAAAAAAAAAAAGACCAAATTGGCTGAGATGCCATTTTATGTTTTGTGATGTGGATTACTATTTGCTAAGAACAAGCCCGGGCTAGTGAATCAATTTTACTGAGGAGTGGGGAGTGGGATTGTCCTGAAGTCACAAATGGGAAAGATCAATACTTTATTTACTAAGACAACCCTAAAAAAATAGAGTCAATAGCTGGCTGTGCTTTTATATCTGTTTCTCAGCTTAGGTTGATATTTATTCATATACATAATCGCTTTATCTAAATAAAAATAAACTATATATCAAGTTTAAAATTCAGATTGTCATGCAATATGAGAAGAGTCATTCTTTGATGTGATTTTGTGGTCTATTTTAAAACTTGAAACAAATTTGTGAGCTAATTTAAATGTGCTGGAGCCACACAACAGGATATTGATAGTTGGATACCAAGATGCAATTAACAATGATACTAAACCATCACAATATGAGTGCACCTGCGAGATACGTGTGTTTTCATTACGATTCCCTACCTGTAATTTAATTCCCCTTTATATGTTTCTTAAATTCCTCAGATCAGTTTTTAGAAGCAAGAAACCAAGTGGATAAAAAGGTCAAATGCAATAAATGAAATAGAATGATGGAAGTCGTAAAAAAGTATTGCCCTTAAATGACCTAGGGAAAGATACAGTAAGTGATGTTGCTCTCACGGAAGTTTAACTTGCTGCCCCTTCCCCTGAACATGTGTTTGCTGAGGAGAGAGGCTGTGCTCTTTGTGGTCCACTTTCACGATCCGCCCGAGGGCAGGAGGTGGTGATGATATTTAATATCATATTGGCTCATCCACTTGTGGGGTCATCACCAGAAACATGTGGCTTTGCTTCAGAAGGGTGCTTTGTGGAAGAGGAGTCTTAGATGTCACATACAGCTCTCTACCCTTCTGGGTTCTTCCAGAAAGTCCAAAAATGGAAGGATGGATAGATAAATAAACAGATAGCTAGAAACATGGCAATGTAGATACATGCATGCAAATACACAGACATGGACGTAAATAGGGGATACGGGGAGATGAGCTAGAGCTTCGGATGTTCCAGTGTGGAGATCTCAGGGAAAAACTGGGGGCTTTATTTTTTTAAATTCCTTAGTTAAAGAAACGTTCCTGTGCTCCGCTCCTTATCTTAGAGAATTATCTCAAGATTTTCATGAAAGAAAAAAATACTCTAAATTACAGTGGACATAAAAGAAGATTCTACCCTGCAACAGTAATATTTATAAAACATTTAATCTGTTATGAAGTTTCTAGAAAACAAAAATGCCACAAGGATGCACTGGAAGTAGATTAGAATCTTACGTGTCACCGTTATGGAGCACGGATTTCAGTAAACCATGGATCAAATAATTTCCCTCTAAAGCGTAACAGCACAAAAGAAAAGCCCGGTACAGTAAAGTGAGCAGTGTGATAGATAGTCCTGTTCCCTCCCAGTCATAGGGCAGGGAGAAGTTCACAAACCACGAGCTTAGCGAAGCCGTGACCCAGAGGTGGACATGGCCTTCCATGGAGCAGATAAGGGTTCCAGTAACTGCCTCCTCCTTTCAAGATTGTTAACATACCAGCATCTAGGGAAGGCAGGTTATGTAATGAAGCATCAGATGCCCAATGTCAGCTGATTAAGCATGGCCAGGGCTCAGAAAGATCCTGTATACTGTAAGTAAAAGTATGAATAGCTGTCTCCCTTTGTGAGTAGCAAGGTCGGCACCTGAAGAGTTAGACTGTACTTCTGAGGGTGTGCCTCATAACAGCTTTCTGAACAAGTGGGAATTTCTCTACAGCGTATTCTCTGATATTGGCCGATAAAAGGTGACTGTAATCCACGAGGTGACACCATTGTCAACAGAGAGAGAGAAGATTTCAATCAGGCGATTTTCATTGTCTGATAGAAGTAATCTTCATGGCTCTGTTGTTCTTCATCAAAGGGCCCTGATGAAGCGCCTTCATGCCCTGTGGTTTAGAAAAGAAAGCGGAGAACCAAAAGATAGACTATTTGGTCCCTATTAAAAATGGACCCTATGTAAAGCAATGCGTTATTAAAACAGAGTGAAACCTAATACAAATGTGGCTTCGACAAGTGTTATTAAATTATTAGACCTTTAGGTAAAAATATACCCTTGAACTGCTTTTATATGCAATCAAAGCCATGATGAAATATTCATGCCCTAAGATTAAGGGGTTGTGGGCGCACGTGTGTTTTGAAGCAGGACCCCTAAATGACAAACAGGAGATGTTACATCGCTCAGTTTGGCATATTCTGTGGATACTGACACTTTGGACCAATTTCGAGAGTGGAGACTCTGCTGGGAAGCCTCACTGGATTCCAGGGATCTGGGCCAGCTGTGCCTGGTGAAGCTCGTGCGTGCCTGTGGCTGTGACGAGACTCTCTCTTTCCAAAGCAAAAATCCCCACAGTTCTTGTGAGCATGCACTGGCCCTGTGGCAAAGCCCCCCTATAGAAAGGTGGCCGTGTCAAGGTTGGAAGGGAGCGTGGTTACAAAGAACACTCTTCTGAAACAAAGCCCAGTAAAAGGTGCTGCTCTGCCTCACGTACGGGTGCGACCCACTGGGGCTTCAGAAAGAAACGCGTTTGGGTTTTTTGTTGTCATTGTTAAGATACGCTTTCTTTCCCTTCTGCCTGATAACTGAGTGTCAAGTCCAGGAAAACCACAGCGTCTCGAGGTCTTGTGCGTCCCTTCTAGTAACCAGTGATTTATTAACAGGCCAGCGACGTTTTCTCCTGTGCCTCAGTGTTAAGTAAGGTACCATTGGTCTCATGCCTCAGCCCAGGCGGCGGCAGGCGCAGAGGCCCCAGTCTGGGCCCTGCACGGGCAGGTCGGGTGACCTGGCTCCGGCGGAGCACCTGAGCTCAGGCAGCGAGGGTAGAGAGCCCAGGCTGGCCGCTGCGGCGTCTGTGCCTTGGGGTCCCCGGGCCGTCTTGCGTCCCTATTTTGGGCAGCCCGCGCTCTTCAGCACAGGTGGTCCCCAGCCCACCAATGTAGATCCCAAGGGCACAGACACCATGGCGTAGACTCAAACAAAGCTTTATCTAGGGGAGGAGGCTGAGCCCACCGCTTCCTTCTGGTTCATTCCCGCATGGATTTGTACCTGGGAAAGGCCCTAGTCCAGCTCAGGGCCCTTCTTGCAGCTGGCAGAATGAATCCACGCTTCCTAGTAGTTATGAGCTGCCACTGTCCCCACAGGAGACCTGCTTCCCTCTGGACATGATCTGAATGGGACCTGTGGTGTAGAACCCTGAGAAAGGGCTGGGGAGCCTCCCGGTGATCCGACCCCACACGCCTGGCTGGCGGGCAGTGCGCCTCAGCCCCTCCAGGACGCCGGAACAGCTAGGGGCTCGCAGCTGAGCTTGGTAGCCGGTGATGGTTCCAAGTAACCAGAGGTCTTCTTTGAGATTCCTCTTGGTGTACTCCCCACAGAACTCGGATGCTCAGTGAACCCTTCTGAGCGCCCGGCCCCCTAAGACCTGCCATGCTCGCTGTTCTAAATACATGCGGCCCTTGGCCTTTTTGGGGTTTGTGCTCAAATAGGCAAATACTCAGGAAACCCTAGTGTACCTCATGCCCTGTGCTGGGCACCCCGAAATATGCCGGAGTGGTGGAGGGGGTGCAGAGGTCCTCGTGGGGAGAGGAGCCTCTGAGGTCAGACCAGCATGGCAGGAGGGTGGCCTGCGGTGTGGCCTGGTGGGGACGTTTAGTGTGGAGACTGGGTCTCTGGGGCTCTGCTGAGTTGAACGGGGCCTCCACCCTAAGCTGCGAGGAGAGCAGGGACCACAGAAGACCAGGCCATTGGCTGTCAGGAAACACTGACACAAAACATCGCAGTGGGAGAACTTTAAAAAAAAAACGTGCTCTTTGATCACGTAGCCTGTGGTGGTTAGGAGGGAGGGAAGCCAGGCCAAGAGCTCCAGTGATGTCAGGGGACAAGGGAGCCCCTTAGAGTCTCTCGCCTGAGACCTAAGGAGTAAGATGGGAGGACCCAGAAGGGGACTTCCCCCTATACCCTCAATGGTGGCCCTGAATGCCTCATTCAGCCGGGACGACTTAGGAGAGGACTTCCCCCATCCCACCCCTGATGGCTGCCTGAACGCCTCACCCAGCCGAGAGGATGCAGAAGGGGACTCCCACCCCACCCCCACCCCGCGGTGGCCCAGAACGCCTCACTCAGCAGGGCTTTGTCCTGGGCAGAAACCAAGGCAAGTGTTTTGGGCTGTGTGACACAGAACTCTTCCTGATCTCAGGTGGGGTCCTGATTTTGCAGGAGGACTAAGAGTGTTGGGAATGCCCAGGCACCCCACTCATCCCACGCCACTGCGTAGACCCCAGGGGCCGTGCTTGGGGCAGGATGTCCACAGAAAGTGCCCTTGGGTGACCTGGAGGC